TTTAGCTGAAATGTTAAATAGAAGCTTTTCAGAGTGTACTAACAATGCAAGATATAAACAGAAAAATATGTTTTTAAGATGCAAATAAGTATGTACAAACTGGAAGAACTAGGTTTCAGTACAAATGTAAATATGCTTTGGAATTGTAATTACGATTAAGAAGTAAGCATACAAATTGGATGCACACACAGAATCTTTATGCCACTGAAACTATGAAGCAGTTCTACTGGACTAATTCAAGGTCAAACCATTCCTAGGATTCTGTGCAGCATTTCTGAGACTCTGTACTGTACAATTAAAAGTCTTTAGAAAAAAGTGGCATAAAGATAAAGAATTAGGAAACAAGATAGGTGATAATGGGCTGGAAATTCTAGTGTGCATCTTAAAGAAGTCTGAGAAGTCACATAGCGGTTTGTAAGTACATGCAGGGTCACGCTACAGGCTGACCCCAATAATGCTGAGGACAGGGGTCACTCTGTAAGGCAATCCCTATAGGTTCTCAAGAGGTAGTCTCAGACCAGAAGCATCAACATCACCTGGGAACTTATGAGAACTGCAAATTGTTGAGCTGCACTGCAGACTTAAGGAATCAAAAATTCTAGGATTGGACCACTGTCTTATCAGGGCCTCCAGGGGATTCTAATGCATTCTAATGTTTAAGAACCACTGTTATAGATCACGGAGACCCATGTAGGGAGGTTACAGAATTAACCTCAAGAACTTAGGTTTGAAGAAAGAATATTCTATGAGTTGCGCTTGTTAATTATCACCAATTGTTCCAACTCATGGAGGAACTCGTGTGCAGAGCAAAACTGCTCTATAGGTCTTTAGGGAGCAGATCACTGGGCCTATCTCCAAGGGTTCCAACCAGCCACATTTCAGCTTAGTCAAGTACTTAACAGTTTGTATCACCCAGAGGCTCCATTCTATGACTGTAAGTTTTTAAATCATTTATATGCATTGCTAAGGGAGTCTGCTGGTGATAAAGTAGCTCCTACAAGAGATATTCAAAATCAAGGTGTTGCTATTTGGCTGGAATAGCATACTGTAGTCAAGTCTGGGAATAAGCGTAAGGAGAGGACAACTTCTCAAAGTTTATCTGTCTATAATTCAGGGTTTCTCTGGATTTCTGAAGGAAACTTACAGTTTATGTATGTTGTCCCACAAAGAAAAGCTCCAAAATGCAACACGTACTTACAAGGGACTCAGATATACATCAAGAACCTCATGTTGTTTTCTCTTAATTCTATTCACCAAGTCTATGCAAAGTTTTATGGGCTGCTTATTCTTTCTTTCAACACTACTGTTAAGGAATCCATGATAACCAAGCATAACAGAACAGGATAGAAGTACAAGTATTTAACATTTCCGTTTATTTTCCCTTAGCTGGAAGTGTTTGTTTCTGTTCTTTCCCTCAAACTATAGAATAATTTATTACAGGAGATTAACCCTGAAAAGAACCAAAAGGGAAATTCTGTAGTAGGCCCAAGCAATTCAGATTCATTGCAGATTATCTTACAGAATTGCCCTGGTGATTATGGAATTTATTTGCATTGTTTACAGCTGGTCAGCATCTTTCTAAAATACTCATTATATATAAGGAAATGTGTCCCAAAGCATTAAATCTGGGCAGACTGTTCCCCCACTAAGTATTTAATCAATAAAAATGCATCACAAATTACTCATAATTAGTTTCCTTAGCAGAGGACTTAAATCATTCAAAGGTTCCTTCCTCATCACCTTTTTTTTTTGGTCAGAAGTTATCATTTCCACAAGTAGTTATGTATCATCCTAAACTGATTTCCCACATATGCAAAGATATAGAATTCTTTGGCCAATCTTTAGCTTACTTTGAGCATATGTTAAATTATCTAGCTTTCCTTTCCCTCCATATGTATACTACTTGCTCACCACAAATTATATAAAAGCTAGAGAAATCATTGACAAATTTCAGGAACAATGAAACTGAAAGGCGTTGAAAATTTGGTCCATTTAACAAGTCATAATGGAATTAATCAATATTCAGATCATAGTGGCATTAAATTAGTCCTTTTTATAAAGAATAAATGTGGTTTTCTAAAGGACACAATTGATTTATTTTAAATATAACTGAATTAAGAACAAATAATAGTGATGGCATAAAACCTAAATATTTGGGTAGAGAATGATGCTGGTTTACTTGTTAAACACCTTAATGTTTGTTGGCCCTTTGGCCAGTAGAAATCAATATTATAAATTTGTGTAATACATATGGCCATCTGCAAAAGCATAAATTTGCTTCTGCTTTTTTAAAAATAAGGATATTGGAATTTATCAGCATTCTAAAGGCAAAACTCCTTATATGTTAACTCAATTTACAGAACTCATATTGATTCCAATTTTCTTCTCTGAAGATATGCCTACATGAACAAATGAAGAAAAGAAGGAAAAAAGGACTCCTTTCCATTTAAACATGGACTTTAAAATAATAGAACTATATTATATTTTCATCATATTTAAATATACTACTTATATGTACAGTTTGTGAAAGCATTTTTCTGTTATTAAATTACCACAACAGATTGCCTGGCACATCTTTGGAAAATGCTTCTTTGATTTTCTTTAAAGAGCAACAGCATGAAATTTGCTAGTAGCAATTAAAAAACAAACAAACAAAAACCACTAAGATACTGCATTATCTAATTTAGGAAACTGTGCAGCACTGTGAATCCTAATGTTAAAACAAACAAATATGCTATTTAGAGTTGATAAAGTTAATAAGGAATTGTTTTTGAAGAATTAGACCTTTAAAGATAATCAAATCTCTATTCAACTAAACCAAACAACAAAAAATTAAGAATCTCAAAAACTGGGAAAATAAGAAATCTGATAATAAAATATTACAGTCTTAGGGAAAAAGTATCTGTCATTTGTGTTAGGATAAAAATGAACTCAAATCCATTTTTAGCATTCGAAATATGCAAAATATATGTTAGGAAACACAATTAAAAACACAGAAAATAATACAATATAGCACAATGGCTAAAAAACAAAGATTTCTATCTAACAGTCTCAAGTCACATATTAAAAACAAAACAAACAAATAAAGCAAAACTTTTAACACTTCCCTAAAAGTGCAGGTGTGAACATTTCTCCAGCTAGGGCTAAAATAAAGCTCATAGTATTCTCCAACAACTGCTATGGCGCTGTCAGGCCCATTTGGTCAGGTTTGGTGACTAAACACTTCTTCCCTCAGAAACACATGTAAACTCAGGTATGAACCTCAATAATTTCACAGCCAGTCCGTTATTAAATTTTGAGTAATTAGGGATTTGCTTGTCACAACCTAGCCAAATCAGAAAATATTCCAAAGTTATTCCTTAAAAGTCTATAAAGAAAGTATTTGAAATATATATAAAATAGCAATAAAACCTATATGAAGAATATATTTGGACAGTAACTATTATAAGATACCATGAGGCAACCTATTCAGACATAAAATATGACCTAGGAAAACTTTCAGTAAATATTTTATGCTAAGAACTAGAGTTAATCACACTGATTACTTTATGTAATGGTTTTGACCTATTATTACTCATAATAAGCATGTCATCAACATACTTATTACCTATGCAAGGCTTGAGTAGAAGGTCATCTAACATCAGACCATTTTAATATTATTAGCAAGAAAGGTGATGGGGAACCACTAAACACAGCCCTTACTTTTCCCCCCTTTACAAATTTACTACAGCTTCAACTTGTTTGTAATAGCATTATCATTTGTTATCTATAGCAAATATAACTATGTTAATATGCATTTTACAATAGAGTAAAAACTTTGATACTAGCTATTAACCATTATTACTTTGCAAGAATTGGTGAAAATCGTTGTGAACCCATCAGAAGTTACCATAAAACTATAACTGAATGTGGCTTGGTCTTGACATATTTACAAGATTCTTGAACACATGGGACTGGAATGAATTTCCACCTATCCTGAAAAACAAAAACAACTTTGTTTAGATTCAAGGTGGAAACTTCCTCTTGTCTTGAATCTTCAGTGTCCATCTACAACAGTTGCTGCTTTTAACTTGGGCACTTCCCCCAAATTGTGGCATTTATTTAAAATCAGAATTATATGTTCAAATATATAAAGGCAGTATGTTTATACATTTTCATTTCAGTCATGGTATACATCTATGAAGTTTGTTTATACACATATACACATACATATATATGCATAAAATTATGTGATTGTTGTTGTTAAGTGCCATTGAGTCTGTTCCGACTGATAGCAAGCCAGTATAGGGTTTCCAAGGAGCGTCTGGTGGGTTTGAATCACCAACTTTGTGGTTAGCAGTCCAATGTTTGTCCTACAGCACCACACCAAGATTCTAAAATTATGTGATACATAATTTAATGTTTTATATTTTCCAAAGGGCAGTTATTCTTCCTTTTTTTCCCCAGAGAATATTTTGGAGAAATCTGAATTGATCTGAATTATCATATAAAGTTAACCCTTTTGGATCTAACAATATTATAGATCAGTGAATTAAGTGTTAATCAAGGAATGAAATAGCAATTCAGTGACAAAGTGTTGAATCCCCATCCTTCCAAAAGCAGCATTCTTGAAGTTATAATATTTGGTTTTATAAAATCTTTTGTCAAAACAAATTGGATAAGAACAAATTAGGTAGGAGCTGGAGATTCAGGGGAAAGATAAGAAGTTAAAATTTTGCTAATACAAAGCACACAGATTAGTTGATCTTAACTGATTTCCTCTTATTCTTTATTCTCTTTACCCATCTTTAATGATAAGAAATATCAACAGAGTTTGCAATCTCTGGAAATACAGACATGCAATATGTAAACCTGGCCCATTTTCAAACAATGTTGGGTCCAGGTTGTTTTTGAGTCAAAAGCAGAATTATAAATAATTTAAACCCAAAGGCTGGTTTCACTCTATTTGTCAGTTCAATTAGAAAATGATGAATATAAAAATAGAAGAGACAGACTTACACACTGGTGGAGACACGACATCTTTTTAGCAGGGAATGAAAGCTCTCATCTGTTTTCTTTATACAACTGAGCTAACATAATTACCCCAAGAATAACATGCAGCAACCTAGATGACATGCTCCATCTTACTAACCAAATTCAAAAAAACTATAACCAAATCTTTTTACTAATCATGTATGTTAGATATTTCCAAATACAATGTATTACTTATTTCCCCCCAGCATTCCTGGATAGCTAACTATGGGAAATAATCACTTTCTTTATTAGGCCAACTGTTTTCTGGGAAGAAACATTTGGTTAGCACGGTGATCTATACACTGCTATTACAAGTTCAATTTCATAATAGTTTATTCTTATACAGCAAAGTATTCCATTGCTAATTCCAAGCACCAATATGCAAGGCAACCAAGGAGCCTGCCTACATTTCCTGGAGGTTAATGTTAATTCTGAGTCAAAGCAAAGAAGAATGTCATCCAATTGTTTTGAAAGAGTTTTCCAGGCGTTGCTTTGGTAATTAATAAGCTGACACTGCATACTAAATACTTATCAAAACAATCAATGGAGCTGTTTCTTTAGAAAATAGGTAAACCGATTCAAATAGTTTTCTTTTGGAATAGACTGAATTATGCCACAAATATAGTGGTCCTTTCAGAGAATATCATTTCCAGCAGTTTCATCTTGGTAACATTTAACAATTTCACTATTTTAACATTTTGAAATGCCAAAAAGAACACACTGATCCTGCAGCTAGGCTTATTAGAGAAGAGCAATCTCTCACAGGCGAGACAGAGAGGAACAGAGTCCACCGGGAAAAGGGTAACAGAAAAAGACAGAAAATAGTGGCTAACAAACAAACCCAGGAGCTACTCCAATGTAAGACCTAATTTTCACTAGATTTTTGAACTTCACACATCAAACAAAAGAATATTATATATGGCTTACGTAGATGGTCAGCTACATATTCCCCCATTTACATAAATATTGATGCTATTACAATTTGAGGGTGTGAATATCTCATTTGTTTTCCTAACAACAAGTAGGCAAACAGTAATTTTACTTTAGAAGGTCAGAAGGCAGTATTTCTATCCTGGGGCATTATTTTATCTCCACAAAGGGACAGGAATACAATGAGACCTCTCCCCATCAAATACTTCATACATACCTCAGTCAAGAGTTCTCCTCTGCTGGAGTGGGAGACATCTTTGAAACAAAAATAGTCCATTTACAGTAAGTTCTCTTGATAATCTAAAATGGATTAGTTTTTCTAACCATGTCCAACATTAAGCCTTTTGACCAACTATGGTAATTGCTATTCTATACACTATAATTGCCTGGCATTTGCAATGTTTAAATTTCTGGAGGAGCATCAATTCTGTTCAGACATGGATATAGTCATAAAATAATTGGTCTCACTTAAGAAACTATGCATGTCTTTTATTTTGATAAAATTGCTCTTAACTGAGTTAGAGGAAGGAGTGGAAAGAGTATTGGGGGGGGGGGAGAGAAAGACAGAGACAGAGAAAAATCAATCAGTATATCTTCCCTTGCAAACTGTCAGTAGGGTGGGATTAGAAAAGCAACATTTTAAATCAGATAAAGTCCTATGGGAACCTTAAAGGTTGGTTGCTCTGAGCTTCTCAATATTCTGCAAAATAGACTGATGTCCGCAGTGACACCACTGATACTCAATGTCCACTGACTTTCTGCAAAGAAATTGCGTTTCCTCCATTGTTCAAAAGAGATTAACTTGGTAATAAAAATGAGAAGTTATGAGAACCACAGAGATATTTTTCAATACCCTTAAAACCAGAAAATCCATTTTAATCTCTTATTGGATTAAATGCTGAAGAGGCTTAATACACCAAGAAAAAAACAACAAAGGCAAGAATTCCAGTGATTTGAAGGAAAAGAAAAAAAGATGGGAGGTAAAATGATTAATAGGTTACTCAATATTTTTGTTTTTCTCATATGTCACTTTAAAAGATTTGAGGGAAAAAGAATCTATTAAGATTAGAAATGTGCCTGTTGTTTTTAAACTTTCAAATAACCAAAGGACAGTTTCTCACGTCTATCACAGCAGACACATTTGCATTCCGGAGGTGATCCTTTATGACTATGAGCCTTAGCAACAAGAAATGTCTTTTTAAAATGCAAAGTCAACTTTATTCAGCTAATGGCTAGTTCGGAGTTAAATGGTTCCATCAAAGTCCAAATCCAGGTATTAATTAAAGATCCGATTGTTCTTATTCAAAGAAAAGTTTTATATATGTTTATATATATGTACATGTACATATACCTATAAAGTTTATTTACCATGCGTTTCTTTATATGACATTTATTATTTTAGTTTAATCCGTTTCTAGATTTGGTGCAGAGACCCACGTTATTTCTCTGGGAAGACTTGGTTGCTGATGGGTTTAGAAACATTAAACACCAACTCAAGAGCCTGTTTTTCAAACATGCACATTACACATTTTTACAGACAGACATCAGTGCATAGAGAGTCAGGTGCACATACATTCAATAAATAGTAAATGGTAGAAATCTCCAGAAGTAGCAGACCACAGTTAACAGGCTGGGGCTATACAGCTAAGTAAACATCGACGCAGGATTCACTCACACGTAACAGAACTCAACGAAGGACACTTGGAGACCACATTGGTCAGTACCCAAGGGGGCTTTAGGCGGAAAAAGTATTTCTAAAAGGAACTCTGCCAGGTCTTACCCTTTGCATCCCCCAGTCCTCTGGGGAGACGGTCCCTCAGCACCCAGCGCAAGGGCTGGTTCTCCGTTAGAACGAATGGTCCCCCGGACTCTACGGAGAGCTCCGCAGGGATCGGAGGCGCCTGGCTTGGGCCAGAGGAAGGCGCTGGCGCCGCGGGAGCCAAGAAGAGGCGGAGGCGGAAAATAAGTAGAGAAGGAAAGGGTGGCAGAGAGAGTAGCGGGAGGGAGGCGGCGCTGGTGCTAGGACGCTGGCAAGGCGGGGTGGGTGGAGCGGGGTGTGCCTTCGTCGGTCGGTCAGTAAGTCAGTCGGTTCGCGCTACCCGCGCGGCGACATCCCCTGCCTCTAGCGCCCGCCACAACAACGACAGGGGACTGACGCCTACTACGCACCAGCCTCCGGCAAACCTCGCCCCTTCCCTGGGCTCTTCACTGGGTCCTCCTGCTCGCCCAGCTGGGCCCGGCACGGGGCCGCCAATCTCCGCCAGCCCGGGCGCCTGTCGCCTCGCCCTGCTCACGCTCCGTCTCTGGCTTCCTCTCGCTTCAGTCCCATTTATGAAGCGCGGTCCCATCACGTGTTAATGAGCCTTTGTCCTGCCCTGGTAGAGGCGGCGGCACAGACCCCGCCGAGGGAACTGTGCGGGGAGGGACCGAGCGCGCGGCACGGTGCCCGCGGCTCCAAACTTTGCTGGCACTGGGGTCCCCGCCGCGGCGCCAGCCTGGGGCTACAGAGGACAAGCCTCTCCGGCCCGCGTCACCTACTTCTTTTTTCCCTCCATCTCCCCCTCCACTGTCCCGGGGGCTCCTGCTGCCACGTCCCGGCTGCCCTCCCAGATACCCTCACACCCCGGTCGGATCAAGAAGGGGCTCATGCACCGCCCCCAACTTCTGGACCATTAATCACTCGCGCCCCGACTGCGCGCAGCACCAACACTTTGCGCGAGGGTCACGTCTGGGGCAGCAAGCTGAGCCGGAAGGGGAAGGGGCGCCAGAAGTGAAAGGCCAAAGCGTGCCGGGTCCGGGGGTGCGGCCTCTAAGCCCACTAGCTTCCCCCCAGTCGCCCCCTGCCGCGGGAAGGCTTTGAGCAGGGCCCAGCGGGCGGGCGAAGCTTTGGGACCGCACCCTGCTGCTCCCGAGTCGTTTGCTACCTGGCGTCGGTCTCACAGCCACCTGTCCTCCGCCCTCGGGGCACTGCCCAGCTTCTATCTAGGCGCCTTCTCCCGCCCCCGCCGCCCCCGCCATCAGCGCCCAGCACAGACCAGTGGGGCGCGCCTCACCCGCCCGGCCTCGGCAGCAAACAGTTGGCTTCGTAGGCGGCTGGCTACGCGCCTCCCTGCCCGGCGCGCCCCCTCTCCGCCAGCCTAGGGTCCGGCTCCTCGCACCTTCTTGCTGGAGGATGTCCCCCTCCTGGACCGGTCTGGGGGCACGCGGAGCTCAGGGTCGGCACCACAGGCGCCTGGAGATCCGCGGTGCGCCCGGAGGACGCGGCAGGAATTAGGAGACATGCTCGTTAATTGGTTCCACTATCAGCCACCGTCTGCCTCCCGTGTGCACGGATCAAACCTTAATTGGTCTTTACATTTATCATGGTGAATTGCGGACCTACAAACAAGCCCCAGAGGCTGCTTCAGCAGAGAAGGCGCCCCCGCCCACCAGGGCCCGGGCCGGTTGTTGTTATTTAGACATCTTTATCTCTTGCAAACTGAATCTGGGGAGGACCACACGTTTGCCACCTGATGGAGCCACGTCATTCCAACCTCAAGGGCTCCGCAAAAGGCACTTGGTTCGGTTCCCCGCCCTCTTCTTCCTGATAGTCTTGGCGTTAATTTGAAGACACCTCCTTGTCTAGGATCCAGCTAAGTCTCCCATTCTTCATCCCACGCCCCCCTCTGGAATCAACGCCCATTTTTCTTCTGCCCTAGCCCAGAGTCTCCATGCAGACAAGTGCAGGCCCTGTGTTGGAACTACGTGGAGACAATCCCAGAAAGTAAGCTTCTTAAGAAAGGGAGGAAAATTGGTAGGGAAGAAGCTGGCCATTTGAGGCCTGGAGGAGGGCGGGTGACAAAGTACCTTTTGGAAATATCAGGCCAAATAGTAGAAAGCCTTCCTGCCAGGACTTCAAAGCAGTTCATTTCGGTTCGACTCCCTGCAGAGATTTTGCTTTGCTACCTCTGATGTACAGAACCAGAATCTGCATATTAAATTAAAATGTAGATTCTGATTCAGTTTATCTGGGGAGGAAAGGCAAATTCTCAGCAGGGAGTTGAACCTAATGAAACCACCGGAAAATTTGACTTCATGCAGAGCATCGGTTTAGTTTTTGAAAATCCTCCTAGACTACTTTAGG